TTACCAATATATACGATTTCTATCAAATAACAAGAGTATTTTATTATCACCTTTACGCATTTAAAAATCCAACATTTACAAAGAACTTATGTGCATGTAATTTGTTCTGTTTTTTAATCGTTATAAACCAGATTTTCGCTACTTTAAATCGACTTCTACCTATAAATCATCATTATCTCGTTTATTTTACAATAAAATACTAAGACCATTTCGAATACTCATAATTGTGGTAAATGCAGCCATTGTCAAAATATTGTACAGGTAGAAAAAACTTACACTTATATTTAGCACACTTGGATTCTGTTAAATCGTTAGCTAAACTTTCACGTTTTGCTATAGTTTTTTTGAGGTTTCTCCTGGACTGTGACACAACTACGACAAGCTCTCATAAATCTATTGTAATTTATTCAAAGGTTTAACAAGTCAAATATGGGTAGAACTTACCTTTTTTACCTGTTTTGAGTACTTTTATGAATGTTCATATTACATTGTAATGAATGTACTTACTCATTGTTAAAAGAATGAATACTACTGGAGATGTCTTGAATTTCAGAACTCGTTCTGAAGCTGAATAGCGATGATACCGACTGTCTAATAAAATAATGGATTAGATATTCATTAAAATGAATTTCTTTTGAAAGATTTACTAATATTATTAAAGCCTTGCAAAAGGAGATTTTGCAAAGCAACATCAGAGAATATAAATGGGGCTAAGATGAGCAATTTCTAAAGTGCAATAAGCATGATGCTTTTTTTAATTTCTTATACAATAAAGTTTTTTAAAAATAGATTTGAAGTGCACTAGTTTTACATATGCTCAATAGTAATGAATTATGAAAAGATGCTTAATTCCATATATGCAAAAAAGAATTAAGGATAGGTTGTTTATTAAATAAAACTGCTCAATTTCTGATTTTTTGCTTACTAGCACAGCTAATTTAATCGAGGATTTACAGATTATTCCTTATGTATTTCTATATATTAAATCTGTATATATTTATAGACCTGAGATGATTGTGACAAATATCTGAGAATCGATTGAAATTTGAAATCGATTAAAATTTGAGAATCGACTAAATTTGAGGATTAATTTTAAAGACCAAATCGAAATCGATTAACAACGATAACGATAATGCATAAATCTTGCATGTAAACAATTGGAGATGCAAATGTTACAACGCTCGATAAACTACTCTGTCATTCAAAAAATGTAAATATTTATAATAACCAAGAACTATTGCCAATATAGAGTTCAATAACTCTGGTAGTGATACTAATGCCAAAAGTAACTGATATTGATCCACATTTGAATGATATTTATGATGCAACAGAAAATATATGCAATTAAACTGTTACAGAATCATAATACATTACTTCAATTGCCTCTATACTATCCTTACCATGTACATGTAGTACCTATGAGTACAACTAATTAAAGTACGATGAAAACAAAGCCAAAGACCAGTTATGCCATCGCTTGCTGTCGTCGTCATCATCATCGTCGTAATTTGTGTTCGAGAATCGATTTTGGGTGGAGAATTCCCAATTCTTTCACAATTTGCACGTAAATATTGCCAATTCCTACCATATCAGTTCCATCCGAAGATCTATTTTCAGATGTAGAAAACTTAATTACACATGAATGAAATCGATTAAATAGCCATTTGGTAGAAATTGAGAATTTTACAAATTTTTCCTAATACTAATAAATAAAAGTTGGTTAATAATAAATTCCTGAACTAGGAATTACAATTCTTAGTAATAAAAAATAATAATAGGATCTTCTTGAGAATCGATCCTCAAGTTGAAAATTGATTAATCGATTTTATTTAAAACGATTAATCGATTTCAGAATCGATTCTTATCCCTACCTCCAGATAGTGCAAATTTATAATTGAAAAATGTTGATATTATATCTCAACCGCTTGGGATCTTTACAACTTTATCAACCCTCTTTAGAAGATGAAGAAATTAAACTAGAAAGACAGAAATAAAGACTTGATGAGAAGATGAAAGTATAAGTGAACAAAAAAACAAAAACTGCACTTATCACAATTCACAAAAAAGTGTAGTCATGCAAATTGTAGTTAAATAAATGTTTTTAGATTAACCAAAACATGTGAATGAAAATTAGAATTCATCTGATACGTAGTTTGTTGAATATATCGATATTGGTATTAAATTCTCTACAAACTGTAATAAATACAATTTGCACCAGTCGAATGTTTACTTCAGAATTAACTTCAAGTATAACTGATATTTCAAATTCATCTTAATAAGAAAATTTATCAAATATAAGTGATAAATAAAAGTGTCAGTTTGTATGTTCAAATGATTTTGATTTTAATACATGAATCAAAGGGAATTAAGATACATCGAGTGTCTGACAAGAAAACTACAAACTACGTACAAATTAATGAAGAAGTACTACAGTAAAAATATGAAAAGAAGAATGTTGTTCTTTGTTAGAAAATGTTACTTTAACTTTAATTTTGTTCGAATCTAAAAATTAGAGATCATAATCCTGACAGTAATTGGGTCGATATTAACTATACTCGCACAGTAACCAAGTTGCTAATTATTATTGCTTATTTTTACATGGTAAACAATGATATGAATAAGTCATCACTATCAAATATTTATGTGTAGCTGAATTTTTAGTTATTCTATATCAGATATAATTAAATTGAAAAACAAAAAAGTAATATGTTTACACTTTAAAAAATTTTTCATTTTATCTCGTTTATAAACACGAATATATATAATTTGCTTTGAATTGTATAATAATTCCAATACAACTTGTTCATTTTTTTCTTTATGCCCCCCACATCCTTTCCAATGACCAGATTGCTTTATAAATTGATCCAAAATTTCTTTTTACAAATTATTCAACATTGATAAATTTTTCAAAAGGAATCTATTCAATTATTGCATCTTTTGTAATGTTATTGCATTTATTTATTAGATTTTTAATATCTTTATCTTAGTTTTTAAATTATAAGTTCTGAATATATAAAACATGAATCGCAGTACTCATTTTTCACAATCGGTACATTTACTACAATCATGAGTATTGTAAACTGAACATTCATCGTGGGGACCCATTGTGATAATTAATACTACAATTACAATTATTACAATTATATGATTTGAAAATATACATGAATAAACTATAGGATCAGGAAAGATATTGCTTACTATACAAAATCTTTATTTTTTGTTATGATTATAACAAAAATAATTAAATAGCTATTGATAATAAAACTGAATTTTATTTATTTCTTATTAATATTGTAATTGTTATAATTTAAACTTTTGCCAATTTTAAAAAGAGCTTTGCCAGATATTTAAAATCCTGTATTCTCTAAATATACATAAAAGAAGTAGAAATTAGAAAGAATAAATTTTATATGAATAAATAATTGTTAAACAGTAATGGTTAAATAATAAATATAACAATAAACATCAGAAACTGCTTTTTATCATTGTACTTTAACTCAAAACATAGCGATAATTAATATCGATGATCTCTACGTTTAATTGTGAATTTAATTTGAAGTTTATAAGTCATACATTTTATTCTCAATTTATCATGTTGACAGTTTGCATTAACTTAAAATCATATCAGATATTTAGGTTCTACAAGTTTAGTTTGTATGTTCCAATCAAAGGTAAAAGAATCACATTTGCTATGTTATTTTTAGTATCTTAATTTTGGTGTTGCAAAACAGATTCAATTTTATTATAATAAATGAAATCAACGAGAATGAAGATACATGTATATCAAGTGTCTTGCAAGAAATCACAACAAAATAAGAAACATCATAAAAAGAAAATGGTGACTACTTATACACTTTAAATTAAATTCACCTGTATCAGTTGGAATTGAAATTAATATTTGGTGTAAATTGCATTTTAGTGGATTTTTTATATTTGTAAGAGTACCTTTCATCAAGCTTTTTTGGTTATTTCTCCTTATTAAGTTCATTCCATTTTTGTATTTCTAATTTAAGACATTCATGTATTTTAGGATATATGTATTTTAGGATATTTTTTAGAGTTGTAGTGCTGAAAATACAAAAAACCCGGTTCCGATTGTGTATGGAAATTGTCGACATGGTAAATAGATGAGATAAAGTCTTCAAGTTCCTATAGGATCTTAATATATTTTAATAAATTTGTCACTTTCAGGAGTAACATTTGGCATTTTAGGTCATGTTCTTTTATAAATGTCTAATGCAAGATCTATATTATAATTTACTCATCAAATGATCATTTTTCTCTTACAATTTTGTATATAATCATCCAAAAACTATAAATTTCTGCAGTTATAATATGACTTTCATTAATACATGTAAGGCAGAACTCTGCAAATTTCTTGATTAGATTATTTAGATTAGCTAAACTGGTAAATTCAAACTTGGTAATTAGAGACATACTCGATATTAATATATTTTCAGGATGAAAGTCACAGTACAAATCCATTTTACACAATCCAAAGGTAATATTATATGAATAGTTTAATTTTTTGAACAAAATAAATTTTTCTTATATATTTGCAAAGATCTCCCTGTTTGTATTACTATCACATGTTCATTGTAGCTAGATTTTTTTTTTTTTCCAAAAAGGGAGGGTGAAGCAAGAACCCGTTTATTGAATAAATGTGCGATATAGAATTAAGGTACAAGTGATTTACATAGTAGGTCTATTTGTTTGGTAAATTTATTATTTCAGGAACTATCTAGGTGAATTTTCGCATCTCTGAGGAGAATGTGCGGAGCTGCTTTTATGATTTGGGTTTCAGACTCTTCGACACTGAGGTTGAGTCTAGCAGAAGCCCGCCAAACATAATCAATAAGCCAGGAGGAGAGCCAGAGAGTAGCGAGAGAGAAGTCATTAGGATATTGATTTAGGATATGGATAAAGTAGTTAATTTTTTTTTTAATTGGTCGATTTCTGATTTTAATTCAGTAATTTTATTTTTATACATTTCTTGGTTTCTATTCGATATTTGTGACGCATCCGTCGAGATGACGTACGATTTCTTGTGTAATCATCTTGGTGAATGAGCATTCTTGAAGAAAGTGTTGGTGTGTTTGAGGAGACGTAGGGCACCAGCGACAGAAGATAGAGTCGATGGAGGAAGAACAAGAGACCCGTTCCTTCAAGGGTAGTGCACTATGATGCCATCTCCACGCGTTCACGTGAATCTGTGGAGGAAGGTTAATTATGTCCAGGTTTTTCCATAGTACATTTTTTACTTCCGGCCACACTTTCTTGAGATATATTTCTTTTTTTAACTTGGTGGTGATGAGGGAGGTAGAGGA